CAGAAAAACCACCAACCACTTTCTGACTGTAACCCCCCTTATGGGATTGAACTTGCGTTGTTCCCTTGTTTGGCACTACTTATCTACAAAGGTCCTTTTTTGTTTTTTCGGGCGGCCTCATTTGGGTGTGGCTCAAAATTTGAGGGCTGGGGTTACGCCCCCCCCCCCCCATGTTTTTTTTGCGTCAACCTTTGCAGGACCTCAATTGATGGGGTTCCTTTTGTTTTCCCTAGGCCTATTTCAACAAAAGAACCCTTGTGCACACACAGTTGGATATGAACTTGAATAGTAGAAACAGCCTCCAAATTGGTTGGGTGCTCTCACAAACCGCACCCAAATCGCCCAAAGTGGGCGACTTAGGTCAAGTCCAACATCGAGGTGAAGGAAGATGGAGAGGTTGGGGGGGTGGCAAATTTGAATGTACCACCCAGTTGCTACGCACTGGGCAAATCACAACGAGCCCTGCATGTAATGCGAGCGAAGCCCATCATGAAGGCCCCTGTAGGATTTTTTGGATGTGGCTGTGGGTCAAAACCAATGGGATCCCATTTTGGGGTAGGTGCACCGCCCATTTTAGTCTATTTTGGTGGAGATCGGGATGTTCACTGGGGGTACGGGCTTTGGATTTTGACCCATGGCCATGTGTTGTACTTCTTTCGATGGACCCCTTGAGACGGGGCCTTCCTTGACATCAAGTTTAATGATTGCGACATATGGAGCATACTGTAAACATGGCAAACCGCTGCGGTAGCCCGGGGCATCTTTGCAAAGAACGAGGCCCGAAAAGTGCAAACATCTCCCCTTCGGGTCTGGAAAACCCATGGTTCAGAATGGTTGCCATAGACACCTACGGTTGCCTTTGGGGCGGGGGCGCGATCCACCTCCTGACAGGTAGGGAAAGGGCCGGCCCCCATCTGCCCTTCGGGTCTGGACAACCATGGCTCAAATGGCCGGTCAAAACTAAACCACCAGGAATTGGACCGCAGGTTTTAGTTCATAAATCCATTAACCAAGGTTGAATTTTGGGTACCCATTTTTGACCCGCAGCCAAATGGTTGCTATTGACACCTACGGTTGCTATGGGGTGATCCACTTGTACCTGATGGGCAGCCAAGGGCAGTAGGCCCCCTCAGGTGGTCTCCAGATGTGGGACTCATTTGGGCCACAACTTGCCGGACCAAGCCGGGAACCGCTACTGCATCGACCTGCTCTGCATCGCGGGTCACCCCAAGTGAACCATCGGTTGGATGCTGAGCAAATCGGAGGTTTCCGGCAGCACCTGCCGCCTTCTGTTTACATCGTATACCATGGCGGGTTTCAATCAGAGCAGATGCAGCTCTCCGGTGAGTTTCTGTTGGTTTAAGAAGAATAAGGGCGGAGGCGGCGAGCGGAGACCAGAAGAAGCGTGCGCTCAGCGTGACCACGTAGGGCTGGTCTTAGGATTCGTGTTTTATTGGCTTCACTGAAGCAAAAACCGCCGCTTCGGTGTGCACCAAGCGCGAGTCAGACTCGCGCCAGGTGGTCGAAGGTACTTTTGGCCTGACTGGAGAACAGTTCGCCAGTCGCGCGGGTTGTCTTCCGCCTGCCTTTGCTTTGCGTTTTTCCAAACCTCGCTTCTTAGCGACGGGTGAAATCCTCGCGAGGCCCTCGGGGCCTTGCCGCACGAGAAGGGCGGGCGAAACCGATATGGGCGCATGGAGCAAGATGTATCGAGCCTTAAACCGCCAAAAGCTTCACTTTTAGCAGGGGAGGAGAAAGCAACCGAGTTCCAGCAGAATCTTACAGCATCTTGTCCCCTCGGCGTGGCTGAGCATTCAGAATGTTGAGCTGCACTGCGTGACAGAAAACAGGCTGTGCCTGACACCTGAGGGGAGCCTAAGTTGGAAACACGAGCCTTTTTGCGTCCCCTTGGTTATTGCACATAGCCAGCCAGGGCTCCTTAAAAGAAATTCATTTTGCAACCATGTGAAACATGTTGCTTTTTCAACACCAAGATAAGGGGAAACCGCCCATTTACAAGGCAATGATCAGGTGTATAATGTAAGGATCACTGTTCCATTTGCTTAGACGGTTTTGGGGCTAATGGAAGACCCAGACCCTCCATTGGACACCCCTCTCTGGGGTTTTGGACACCATTCTGATTACAACGCAAAAGTAAAAACCCAGTATTTCCTGGAAGCACCCGGATATTTTGCCATACCTTCAAAAAGAACGGATATTTGCTTAGAGGGTAGTGTTTCTTTTTCCCTTGTTGGCTTCAAAGCGAAACTATCACAAACTGTTACTGGACATATGGGAGCTGGGTCAAAATTAAACCAGGAATTGGACCGCAGGTTTTAGTGATTGTTTCCATCTAGGGTTCAATTTGGGGTACCCATTTTTGACCCACATGTCTATTCTCCAGGGTGCTTAAGCAAATGGCCATGGGTCAAAATCCCAATCGTACCCCCAGTGAACGTCCCAATCCCCACTAAAATGGGTTCTAGAATGGGTGGTGCACCTACCCCAAAATGGGATCCCAAAACGGTTTTGACAACCACAGCCAAATGAAGGTCAAGGTCCCTCGCCTGCCTAAGTTGCGGTTGCGCCGCAGCTACGCCTCGCGCCGTTTCGCTTGGCTCGAAGGGAGCGAGATGGGAATCGCGGGTCCCTAACACAGCAGTCACCGGCCGGAGTCCCCTCAGGGCGCCTTGTGTGGCGGAATCCTTACGCAAACTTGCGTGGGACCGGCAAGGTTGCTTCACATGCAGTCAGTCCATGGCAGCTAGAGAACGAATCACATAAGACGGTTGATGCAATCAACATGCCTCACAACAGGTGTACGTCTCCCGCATGACACGAAAACCAACACCTTTGCCTGAGACCCATCGCGCACAAAGCCACGACTATCATAAACACAGAGTATCCGATTATCCGCCAGACATTTACTGGTCAAAGCAAAACTGTGTCTTCGGAGAGTAGCCTTGTTCCAGCGTTTGCGGGGCTGTGGGCTTAAGCGGGAGCACGGGATTGATCCTTGCGGCCGATCCGCCGCGGGCAGACTCCATTCCGAGGCGCCAGCGGCGGGAGGGGCAAAACCGCTTCCGGTGCCATGACGGTTTGGGGGTGTCTTGTTGGTAGGGCCCACCAAAAGCGAAAGGACCACCAACAAGGTGATGTTGTTTTTTGGCGGTTTTGCTTGACCAATCGGAAAAAAATCGTACCCCCAAAAATGACACACCCATGTTGACACTTGAGGCAGGCAGTCACACAGAGGATCCACAAAGAGAATCTGAAAGAGACATTCATATACGCGTCCCCCTCTCTCAAAAGAAAAAAGATGGGGAGATTCGCGGCGAAATTGTCCAAATGGGATCCAGGCAGAGATCGGCCTTTTCCGAAAAATGGATTTTACGGTGTTGTTTCTTCGGGGAACCTGGGATTTACTCTCTCTTTTTTTTGGGGGGGGAGACCTTTTCTTGGGGGACGTGATCCGTCGAAAGCTGAGCACTTCGTCCAAGACCAACCAGAGATCTCGGGTCCCAAGGGTTGGCCTTTCAGCCACAATCAAAACCTGGGAAGATGAAGGTTAGTAAGGGGCAGTTATAGCCAAAAAAAGTTGCGGGAAGCCGCCTTTCGATTTCTTGAAGCATGGCTTTGGGTTCACCATTCTTGTACCAGGTTTTGATTGTGACTCTTATACGGGATGCTTGTTGTGCGGGTAGAGCAGAGGCAACGCTTGGTTTTGCCTTTGCTTCCCATCGGAGGTCCTCTCCAGAAGCAGGAGCCGCCTGCGTATTTGTGGGGCATCCGACAAGACTTTCTCTTTTCCAAATCCGCGGACGGGCCGCTTTTCTGAAAGACCCGCAGGTCATTTGCCGCGTTGCAAAGGGGTCCCTACGCGGGGCAGCCTTTCTGTCAACCTTCGGCATCGTGCTTTTTCAGGTCAAGCTGCCTGCTCCCTTTCAAACAATGAGGGTTAAAAAACTTTGAGGCAATGCGAGCACCTGCAGGGATATAACTACTTACCCCTTACAACTCCAAGCCCTGGGGAAGTTAATCTTTTACAGACATATAGCCCATGCCCCCAAAAAGTTGAATGAAAAGTTGTGTTTTTAAGAGGTAAGACTACTACTAGATGGTGGAACGCTCTTGATCATCTTGGGATGACCTCCGTTTCCGGGGTTAAGAAAGGGCAACACCCACATTTCTTCGGTTGAACAACATCCCCACCCCCTCAAAGAAACAACAATCGCTGGTTCCATGTTCCAATGTATTATCTTCACTGTTCTTGGCATGTTTTTTGTTAGGTGCCCTTTCATTTTCGGAGAGGGTGCCCCTAAACTAGACAAACCAGAAAACAAAATCGTTGGTGCCAACTTATTCTAACCTCAAACTACTGGAGGACCTGTGGATGGACGAAATCCTGCACCACTTTGAAATCACGGGAAGCCACTATTTGCTTGGTATTTACGTTGGGGAATCATCAATCCAGGGTGTTTCTTAGGTGGTGCGAAATGGATTTCGCAACCATCCACAGTATGTAGGGGTCGAACGCCTCTTCCGCCTTCTCCAGATGCCGGTGCCCGTGTTCTCCGCTGAAGCGGCGAGGGCCTTTATCCATGCCACGCCGCAGGACACGAATCGCGTGAAGGATTCCTTCCATTGGCTGAAATGAATATATATATATATATATATAACATTTTCCCTTGTTGGTATATAGATATTTATATAAAAAAAAAAAAAAAAAAAAAAAAAAAACTTGCTGGTTTTAAAAGGGAATCTCTCACTACTGTTTTTTGTTATATTTCCAGGGGGGCTTAAGCAAAGGGCAGAAATTCGAGTTCAAGTTGCAAACTACTGTTGGATGGTTGCGAAATCCATTTCGCACCACCTAGCAAGCTCTGGAAGAATTGGATTCCCCTGTAAATACCAACAGCCAATGGTTTCCCATAGTTTCAACGTGGTTCAGGATTTCGTCCATCCACAGTATGGTTAGATCAACAAGAAGACAAATGCCAGCAGTGAAGATTGGATAGCTACCCCCAAAAAAGAAAGTTGGAACTCACCAGCCATATTTGTGGGGCAATCATTTTTTTTAGTTGGAATTGACCCGAAAGAACTATTCAGTAAACAACAGGGCCAATTTACTAACCATACTTGTGGGTTGCAATACCCCAGTTTTTAGGCTAGGAATTGTGAGAGTCCAGCTAGATGTTTGAAGGTTGGTTTGTTCCCTTCAAGAGGCGGGATTTGATGGGCCCAGATTCTAACAATATGGGTGTGGGTCAAAATTAAGCCACCAGGGGACCACAGGTTTTAGTCCTTGTTTCCATTTACCAGGGCAAGCCATTTTGGAGGAGCCTGTTGGTCACAAGGTAGTCGTCGGATCAGTTCGCTGGGCACCCTTAGAGCAAGGAGAGCTGGCATTGTGCGATGGTTTCGGCTGGAATTTGGCAATAGACGGCGACGCAGGTGTCGGAGGTCACCCCATTTTGACATTTGCCCAATTTATCGAAAGAATCGGAGTTAGCAACGTGGGCGTGGGTCAAAATAATACCACCACGGTATGGACCGCTGGTTTTTGTCTTGGTTCCATTTGCCAGGGTTCCGTAGTAGGGTTGCCTGCTTTTGACCCACAGTCAATTCGGACTTGATTTCAAATATCATGGGTACCGTACCCTCCAAATTCGAAACTTAAAAAGGGTTATTGCCTACCCGAAAAGTACTGTTGGTTAACTGCCTCTGTCGCGTCCTGTCTCCATGACACTTTCAAGCTGGTGTCAGGACACCAGCACATTGTGCCAGAATCTGTTTTTTCCCCAACAGCTGAAAGCTTTGGGGTCTCAGCCCAGATAGGCTCCGGGGTGGTCCGGGGCGGCCCTGAGGTGAGGTTCCACGAGGGTTCCACCAGGGTTCCACCAGGGTTCCACCAGGGTTCCACCAGGGTTCCACCAGGGTTCCACCAGGGTTCCACCAGCACCAGGGTTCCACCAGGGCTCCACCGGGGTTCCACGAGGGTTCCGCGAGGTTCTGCGAGGGCTGCGGGGTGGTGCGCGCACTAAAAAGAGCACCGCATGCTGTTGGGGATATCACCTAAGCTTATTTCTCGATTTCTCAAGTTTTATTCGGTTTTGGCCAGAATGCAGCAAAATTAGGTGTGTGCAAAAAACCAACGCTCACAGGGTCCCTTTCTGTTTGTTTAAGGGTCAGGTTAAACTTTAGCGGCAAACAGCTTCTTTATGGCAACACACGTGGCAACCTGCATCTGCTTCAAACGACCTGAGCCAACGAACTTCTATAGGTG